GGGCTCGAAAGGCAGCGGCCGAGGAGGGGAGAGCCCCTCGCTCCCAGCTCCCCGGCGGCCGCAGGGGCTCTCGCAGGAGGGCAGGGCAGGCAACCCGCCGCCCCGACAGCCCGCCGGGAACTGCCACCGAGAAACCAAGTTCAGCGCCGGCTGGGCGCGGTGACCACAGACATCATCAGAGGATAATGGGGGAATGGAAAATCCCTCCTGGAGACACATATGTTGCTAGTTGTGGTAAAAGACCTGCTTCATTCTGCTGCATCACCCTTTGAATGGGGGTGAGCGTCAGGGACATCCCAGCTACTCTTTGGGATTGACATTTGTTTCCTTTGCCATTGTTTGTGGTCTGCCAGCATGGCTCTGTGCCTATTCCAAATGCAAAGTGAAGAAAAGAGGTAACATAGACATACACACTGGTGAAGGTTTCCAGGATGTTATTGCAGCTGTAAATTTTTGGATTCATTTAACTAGAGAGTTGTTAGAGTTTAGTTCAAGAACTTGCTACGACTGATCTGACTACTGTGTTTCTAAAGCTGACAATAATGATACTGCCTCTGAGAGAGTGCAAAAGGTGAGTGACTATGGGTCTTGACAGGAGGTCAGAAAGGGGACCTTGGCAGCAGAAATGTTGCTGAATCTGTACTGGAGCAAAATGCACAGAACTGAACTCTTCTCTGCAGCAATAACTGTACCCACGCGTGGGCTTGCATACAGAAAGGAAAACCTGTGACCATATGCACTTGTGTCCTCCTCTTCATGCAGATGAAGTACACCGTAAACCCACAGAGAAATCCGTCAGAAAGACAGACCTTGTACTTCTCAGTAAATTGCAAAACTCACGGGCTTTGAACAGGCAATGCTTAACATGGTATGGAAAGTTTCTCTTTAAGTATCCTCAAGGGAAAACAATAAAGTTAGAAGAGCATTCTAGTTCCACATACTTCAGACTGAAGTTACTTGAAAGATACTATTATCATCATCATCAAGTATATTTAGTACATTCAATCACTTTTTTCTGTCTTTCCAGCTACTGTGTTCTGGCATTTTTTACTCTCATGATCCAACTACCAGTATCATTTCTGTTACAACAAAACTTAAGAGTCTCTGAAATAATGATAAAGGAGATCCATTTTGTCTGTCTCCGCTCCATGTTTGTTTTTTTGCCATTCTCATGTTTGGTGAATATCAGCAGTTGGGCTTGGTTCTGCACCAGCCACATCCTGGAAATGTTATGAAACGTCCTACAGAAATCTTGATGCTTTCAAGACAGGGAGAAAGTGCTGAACATTGATTTAATTTCAGTTTTCATTTAGGGGTGGCCATTAAAGGTAATCCACAGCCTCGTTGAAAGAGCTAAATCAGGCAAAATAGAGGCTTGGGTATAAATCGCTATTGGTTTTGTGGTAAAAATCATTATACTGTGTCGGGCGTGAGGTCCTGCTGATGTCCCTTATCTCTAACCTTAAGCCTTAACAAACCGTGAGGTTTCCTCAGAGGATGGCACAAAAAATAGCCCATAGGTGCAGGGAGACTTGAAGTCTGAGGTAAAATGTTTCTCTCTGGTTTTATTCCCGCCTTTCTTCGCTTAATGAGGACCCATGGAGTCCTCGGGGAAATAGAAGTTGTGCAGCTGTGGCTGCCTCCAGAGTCCTGACGGCCGCCTGCATACGGTACGGCGGAGCACACGTTCAGGATCAGGCCTACGGGGCAAGCTCTCGGACTGCCTCGTGTATGTGATCGAACGTAACAGAGTCCAGCTGTGCAATGGGAAAATTCAGCACTGGCTTTATTTAATTGAGTCCTTATTGGTGCGGCAAGCTCAATATATAAAAGCCATTGGCAGCCATCCTATTTGCTTTCTTTTGCAAAACTTGTCAAGAGTAATTGCACAAGGTAGGGTAAAAATGGTCTACGTGTGAAATACAGCCTTGAATTTTGATACCAGATACAACTGTGATGCTGGCACTATACTGCCTCGGTTTATCTTCTAGTTCTGAGTGTTAAGGAAAATGAGCTTAATGATAAATACTAAGAGGAAGACCACATATCAAAGTCAGTCGTGCTGTACATGTGCCTTACATTATCAACAAAGGGGGATTCTAATGTGATGTCTCCATTGTCTGTTACTAACCTTACTATGCTTTAAGAAAGTATATGTATATACAGCCAACACACCCTCGGATAAATAAGTCTTTATTGATTACTATTCTCTCCTTACCCCTGAATTTGGTGGGTTTTTTTACAGTTCCATAATATTTATTCTTATTTAATATCTGAAATGATCATTTTATGTTTCAATTACCTCCCCTCTTTTTGCTTTTCTGCTGCACCATTTCATGTTTGTCCTGGAAAGATCTTTTCTTTCCTTATGCTGTTTTTTTGTTACCCTTCTTTTTTCCTTCCATTTTTATCAGATGCTGATGTTTTACATGCAGTCTTTTCTATAATTTGTTTCAACCTTAATTTTCATACATTTTTAGAAATTAATCTTTGTCACCATTTTACCTATATTCTATTTTTCTTCCCTCCAAACAAAAAGTGATATTTCTGAAATATTCTGTTACACATTTTATCCTGCTTATCATAATTGTCTCTGCTTAGTTTCTTGATCTTCTGTTTCCCACTCAGTTTCTCTACAGCCACTCATTTGTTGTTTTTTGTTGCTGAATATGTCTTTAATTACCTACTGGCAGCAGCAATGTTTGATGCCCTGTACATTTCTGAGGACCTTACATGTAGCTTCTTTGCTCTTAATACCAGGGGACATCCTGGTGAGCCTTCTGATGCGCTGCATATTCGCCAGTCTTCTGAACTCATAGACTAGATAGCAACCGTACACCAAATGGAGAGCATCTTTAAGTGACCAGAGGTTGATCTTGAGGTCAGTGATGCCCTGTGCCAACAGGTAACAAATATTGCACCATGTGTGAGAAAGGCTCCAAAATGTTGCGTAGCTGCAGTTTTGTCCTTGCGAGTTGTTTATTGCCTAAAATCTGTTCCTGTTTCCTCCCTACTGTTTACAAGCCCCTGCTGCTTCTGGTGGCTCATCCTTTTAAATTTCAAAACCAGGAGGAGGAGCCAGAGGGCAATTTTCCAAGCAGGAGTAAGATAGATAATTAGGCAATTAATCTCTGGCACTGGAGTTGGATCTGCTTGTGAACAGAGGAACTAAGGATGCAACTCCAGCCTTGAGTGGGACAGGACAGCACAACACAAAACGTGTGCATGCGAGCCCTCTGGAAGCATGGGACTGACTGCCAAATTGAGCTTTGATAGCTTGAGCCTGTTTTCCTTAGTTGGTAGAGACTCTTCATTTTTGAAGTTGTTTAGATCTGCTGCCCTGGGCTGTTCGTGTGTACTTAAAGAGCGTAGAGTACTGTTAAGAGACATTCAACTGAAAGAGCCTCAACACCTCTGAAATGTCATTTCTGGGGCTTCATAGTACGGATGGCTAGGAAGAGTGCGGGGCATAAAACAGCCAGTAATTTTTATTTACTTGGCACAGTTAGAAGCAAGAAAATAAATATTCCTTTTTAGAAAGATGGAAATCATTATGTTTTCTTCAGAAGAAATAAGGTGTGGCATGAGCTGTTATGTCCTTGACCTGTCTGGTAATATAGGCCCCTATAGATTTTACAGATGCATTTATGAAAAAATAAGTAAGTTTTTATAATTTCTTGTTTATATATATACACTAGGTGACAGGAAGAAGTTGGCCATATTTAGCAAATGACAGGGTATCTGCAAAGCCAGTGAAAATGTGTTTTCTAATAAAGTAATGTAAAAAAACAGTGAAATACAGTGTACTGTACTGAAATAGATATCAACTCATAAAATTAAAAGAGTAAAAGATGATGAAAAGTATATTGTTTTTTGCTACAAATATAGAAAATATCCTATCAATGCAAAAAAGGGCAGTTTAACAAGTTTAATATGATAACTGGAAGAAACAATCCTTTGTGAACCAGGGTTGCTGTTGGGACAAACCCCTGGTAGTGACAGCAGTAGTTGGCAGAGGTGCTTTTATGATATATCAGATTTCATGTCTTGAGATGGCCAATCCGTTCTTGTTTTCACGTACTGTTAGTGGGATTTACAGTTGGTAGCCGAAAGATCAGATTTGTTTCCTGCAGATTGAAAGCACATGCTACTCCTAAATCTCTTTTTCCTAAGGCTTTTTGAAGCCTGTACGTACCCAGCATTCCTGTCATCTTGAAAGGCGATTTTTCTCTTTTCAGATATGTATGGAAAAGTGCATGCATATTTTATACCACTTTATGAATTTTTTCTACATTTCATAGTTACATGCTTTTCTTGGTCGCCAATAGTACCCCTGTAGCCACACTACTTAACTTTCCAGCTTCCAGTCCTTCAAATTGCTGTATCTCAGCACAGGAATATTTACAAAGTAATCCTTTTTTAAAGGGGAAATAAATACCTGGATACTTGGAGCTCAGTCTAAATGAAAGCTCTGTCAGTGTAATTACACTGTTTTCCTCACATCTTTAAACACCGGTCTGTCTGTAGAGATTGTTAGTAACTAACTCAATACTACCCCAGATCTAGCTTATCTTCTGAGAGCTTAATTTTAAATATAACTTTGGCACAAATGAGTAGTGCTTACTAGCAGAATATAAACATCTGGTCACTTTTTTAAAAGTCGCTTACAGATTCAGGCCGTTGTGAAAGCCAGTGTCAGTATTTATTAGGGAGCACTATTGTATCACATTGGTAAGGAACTGAAGTTTGCTATTCAGGGTATTGCTGAGAATAACAAATCCACAGCAAGTGTTCTGGGTAGCTGCATTTCTTTATTTTGGCCTTGAGCTAATGAGCACATTCAGTGGGATTCAAGGGCATCCAGCTTGGAAGAGACCTTACACACTCCTCTTCTGTGGTTATGTCCAAATTTCACTTCTTTCTGTTTTTGTGCTTCCAGATTCTCCTTCCCACTCTCTGCCTAGCCCACCAAACTCAGGTTTTCCATGAGAGAAGTGAGAATGCACAAATGCGAGACAAACAAAAATACTTCATGCATAGATGGGAAGGTATGTGTCCCACGGCTGTATCACTGTACTCCAAATACAGATCCATTTCAGTGGCATCCCTTTCTTTCACTTACCCAAATAAACTTCCCTAGATGCTGAGTTAATTTCATCTGCAATAGTTATTAATTCATTTTTCAGTTCATAGTCTTTATTTTCAGCCTGATTCAATGTCAATCAGCAGTAACAGGCCATAGAAATTACTAGACAAGCTACAAGCTACTCTTCCCTACCTACTTGGAAAGCAAAAGTCAACTCCCACTTTGTGTTTTCCCAGTCTCTTGTAAACAGAGGCTACATAATATTGCAACTGGAGAAAGGGAGTAGCTACAGTCTTCTGGGTAAAGGCACGAGAGTGGGTAGGCAGAGTACTGGGTATATTTAGGATGGCGGGATCGTATTGCCATTGGGGTGATAGCTCTCAGTTTCAGTTTGCCTTTCTGCATGTTAACGTCTAGTGCTGCCCTGTTTTTATAAGCAGGGAACTAAGAAAAGAGAAAATAAACTTTACTGTAAGGGAACAACTCTAGTGAAGCATGGCAAAGGGAAGAGCTAAGGTCTGACACAGCAATCCAGTATCCTGATGTATAGCTATGAATGCAGTATGTGTGGAAGATTGACAGAGCAGCCACTTGTGATTCTCATTCATGTGTATGGCTGGGGACTGCTTTTGTACAGAGCTGTTCAAATGTGTTCCAGGAGCACAGTACCCAAGGAACTTGGCCCTCAGGGAATCTTAATGCACCCACAATGCACAGCTTTCAGCGAGCAGGTTGCTTATGTGTCTTGAGTTATTGTAGACAGTGAAAAGTGAATGCACAGTATGTTTTGCAGCACTGAGTCACCTATGTTCTGCGCATGGTGAACAATAAGTGATAATTACTAGTCATTATTGCTTAGCAGAAATGTGTGCTCAGGAGTTGTTTGTTGGAGGTCTCTTAGTGATATTTTAATATATTTTTCATGACTCTTCTACAGTGAAATTTATTTCCCGATTTTCAGTTAATGATTTATTTTTGCTTGGTGGCTTTTTAGCAGTAGTGTTTGTCTTTAGTGTTTAGATAGTGGACTAAAAATACCAGAATTGTTTCAAAAGCATTATGAAAAGCCTAGGCCCAATACATTAATTTGCTCTAGAAAGGTAGGACATCTCTTAAAATTATTTAACAGTAAGCCCAGAAATGTACTAACAGTAAAAGCGTTCATTACAGAAAAATACATCTTGTACAATGAACGTGCAATAAAAGGTTTATAATGTAAAAACAGTAAATTCAGGATAACATCTGCTTAGTTTTAAAGACAAAGTCTAACCCAAGATCCTTATTCATGTAAGACTGGATTAAAATTAAAAGGAAGTGTCTGCTGAAAGAAAATTAGGTAGTTATTCACTTTTATTAAAACCTGAATAAATTCCATGTATCACCAAAGACTCCATAGGTAGAAGAAGGACTCATGGAATCTCTGTGCAGAAGAAGGATTGCTGTTGCTCAGCTGAGCTCATACAGCACTCAGAACAGACCTTATATGGCTTACTCGTTGGTCTGTGCCCTTCATTTCAAATGTCTTCATCAAATTTGTAATTGTTTGAAAAATTGAAGGTATTTGAGGTGAGGTGTAAAACTTCTTGTCCCTTCTATCCTCGGAGAAGCTCTGGATCTTTGTGATGAGTCCCCTTTTTAAACTTCAGCTTCAGAAAAGAAAATTGTAGGCTTTCAATATTTTAATCCAGAGTTGTTTGCCTTTTTTACAGAATCTCTGTAGGCCTCCTGTGTATGACAAATTCACAAAAAACCACCCACACTACATTATATTTGATGTATGATTCCAAACCAAATACACAGAAAAACCCATGCCAAATCCTGAAGTTCAAATGCTTAATACGTGGAAAGGGAATAGGAGTCGTGCTAGTTCATACTGTAATTTCAGAGATCCAGCATGTGTAGTACTTACTGCAAAACTACCAAAAAATAATTCTAAGTGAACTTTCAGGAATTGTGTTCTCTCAATTGAGTCCCAGAAACAGTGAAAGATACGGCAACTGAAAAACTTTTGATGCAAACTTAATGATTAAACTCAGAAATGCAGAGATCAAAGAGAAACTGCTGGGAAGATGTGAGAATTAAATCAGTGACCGATGTAAACAGAAGTTTCTCACCAGAAGGTCTGTTGACAGTGCAAGAATGAAAGCTTCGATCAATCAAAAAAGAAAAATATAGGCGGGTCAAAGAACGTCAATAGATAGTAAAATCAAACCTCAAATTAATTAGTTCAATTAATTTCAGCTTTAAGTAAGGGGTAAGTTTTAACAGGGTTAAATTCTTTCTTTCGTGGCTAAACCAAGTAAGGTTAATAAGATGAGAATTTTGCATTTTATCATCAGCGATTACTTACATGATATGATCAAGGCAGAAACTGTTTTCCCAGTGTTTTCCAGTTAGCACAGGTATAGAAAATTCACACACGGGAGAGCTTATGTAAGTGTTTTGTATGAAAGTTAACATGTTACCTATGGTTTTGTGTGCCAGAGATTGCTTCAGAAGGCTTTTCTACAAGAGTTTATCTTGGTTTTGGAATGCTGCTTAGGGTATATGATTCTGCACACTATAATCTGAATTATCCATGCTCCAGAAGTAGTTTTACTGGTTGTTGCCATGACTGTGGTCAAAGTACTTTTACCACACTAAACACATCTCCACAGAAGGTGTGAGAAAAATAGAAGGAGGCAAATTGTGACCAATCCTAATCCCACTTTTTGGAAGGAGAAATGAATTTATATGTGGCGTAATTTATGCTCTTTGACATGCCAGTTTAATTGATGCTGGTACTGACATCTTTGCATTTAAAAGATACGAGTCTTTGCTCTGAGGAAGTTCTATCTTTACTTGCATTGTTACTTATGGTATAGCTAGGTCACCCAATGCCATGCCACAATTTCACCTACTTTTCAAACCTAGACACGTTAGTGAGGTAAATTAAGATTAGCATGACTGTGGTCTACAGAGCTCTGGCAAATGTACATGCAAGAAATGATATTAAGTTGAAATTAATTAAGCAATACATTTCATGGTGTTGACAGTTTGGGTGTATGTAGGAGATGACTGATACAGTTTTAAATTGTTGAAATGTGACTGGCATTCCACTGCATTATGAGTTGGCAACTAGAATATGATGACTGACTAGTTATAACTGCCCTGCTGCATTTAGACAGACTGTCAACTGCTTACTAACCAGCCAAATGACAACATCAAATTAAAAGGCATACTTATAGCCACTACTGTACAAGCCCCTGGAGATCCTGAATAAACAGATGGATCTTGTACTAAGTACCAGATATGAATTGGCAAGGAAACAATTCCAGAGGCATCACTCTCCTTCACTGAAAATTCTCTGCATATAGATGTTCAGATTTTGGGACAACTGAGAGGAAACAGAATGCCTAAAAAGAGTAGGAGGAAAAATGTGATTAATAAAAATTCAAGTTCAGAGTCAATGCAGAGAAGAAAGTAAAGTTATTGCCTTTTTTAAGACACTATATGTAAGAGTAAATAATAGGATAATAGTTCTGTTAAGGCATTGAATGAAAATGTTTTTTTTTAAACAATAGTAGTTGAAGAAAGGATAAGTGACTGAATGAAATTCTAGGAAGCATTCAGATCTAATGCTGCAGGGTAAGGGCCAACAAGCTGCAAGCGTAAAGCAGTACATTGACAAAGACAAGCATTTGTCTATCAGGATGGAAAAAATAACATTTGTGTAGGACGGGTATGTGTACCAGTATTAATGTAGGTATGGAGCAGTCCAACTGACCAATTGCATAGTCTTAAATACAAATTTCTGCAGGCTCAGAGTGGAACTGCAGTGATGAAACCACTGTTTATGCACATTAACTGCTGGTTTTGGCAGAGACAAAACCAAATCATCATGTAAATTGCCTTTTAATTAGAAAACTAGGGAAGTCAATACAGTCCAAAGTTTGGGTTAGTCTTATTTTTGAGAGTAAATTCCAAGCTGCAGTATTAACAGATGTGTTCATGTATTTTTAAACCCAAGCGCCACATGCTAAGTAACTGCTTTGAGGGCTTTGTTAAAAATGTGTCCCTAAGGATGAACCGCTAGCTCAGCTGAAGTCAGTGGAAGTTTCCCAATTGTTTTCATGAGGTCAGAACATCACTGTCATTGTTTAAAAGGCATCTTCACATATTATAAGTTAACTGTAAAATACTGTAAATCTGCTGGCATCTTCTAAAAAGCTGTAATTATTGGTGCGCTCAGGTAGTAAAATAGCATAAATGAATAAGATATATCTAAATCAACTTATAATATTTGCCTTACGCACATTATCATGCATTTTAATCTAAATAAGACCCAGTAATTATTCCTAATTCACAATATATCCATTGCTCGCAGGCTATGATCTACAAATATTACGCTGTGACAGCTTGCCAGAGCTTCTCCTGCAAGGATCTACTGATGGAGTTTTTCTAAAGAGACTTCATAAAAGAAGCAGCAGCAGCAAGCGGAGTGACCCTACAGGTGCAAGCTGCAGCAGTTGGCTCTCCAGTCTTCCCAATAAGATTTGTTGAAACTCTCTGTATCGCAACGTCTTTATCGGTAATGGATCCCTCCCTTAATTTGCACTGATGCATTTGGAATGTCAGCTTCCAAAACAAGGCACATGGGAGGCATTTAAAGTAGATTTTTTGAAAGGAGAATGAACAAAGAGCATGTCAGGTTCCATTTTGATTTGCATGACAAATCCAGCATGCAGCGTTCTGGTGGGTCAGGCTGGGCTTGCCTGCCACTCACGGCGTTTGTCACTTTGGTTTGAACCCTTTTGACAGTCTGTTATGTTAATTGTTCTAAGGATTGTTTTGCTGGGGAAGAAAGGGAAAGGCATTTTTATTTTTGTACTTTTTACAGGAAAGGAGGGCTATCTGAGGGAACAGAAAATATTTTCAATCAGTTTGTGATCTATTTTATTTGTAAATAATCCTGTGAGGTCATCAACAAGTTCAGTATTTTACATCTTATTGCTACTCACTCTGTGCATGTGTTTTTGAGTGGGAAATACTAAGCCCCTAAACTAGAAACTTGGGGAGTCTATTGTTTTGGTGCACACCATTCTTTCTGCCTTTGAGTCCCACAGTGAATGTCCTGCAGAGTGGTTTGTGCTATGCCTATATGCTTCTATCGGATGATATTGTGGTGCTTTGACAAGTGCTAACAAGGTATTTAATGCCCTAAGAGGCATTGTTGGACACACATTGTTATCGGTATGTGGATAGTATGAGAATAACTCTCACCGCGTCAAGAGACCTGTTGGCAGATGTGTGCATATGACCGAATTCTCCTGGAGGCACAATTCAAGGTGGAGGTTGCTGTCGCCCCTTAGGGTACACGCACTTCTCTCACCTATGTTAAACCAGTCGTGGATTGGTGGTGGGTTTTGAGTTTCAGAGTTCCTAACTGACTGCAGGTGGCAGAACACTGTAGGTTGATCACAAACCAATATTTTCAGACTGATGGAATGATCAGCCATGAAGTTTCAGGAGAAGACTGTTGTTTGTGTCTCTCTTTTGCAGTTCCTGCTGGTTTTCAGCCAAAGGAGAGTTTAGTGTTTAACGAATGAGGAGAGCAAGAAGAGAGAAACAGCATTTCCGAGAGGTTTCCAGGTAGTGACTGACACCTACCTTTTAAGCGTTGAACTCCTACACTGCATGGGGGGTTCTCATTTTCATGTTGTGATCTACCTGCACCATGACAGATAAGCTCTAAATAGAGAATGCTTTTATAGTATAAAACCATGCAATCAGATGCAGAAATACCAAAATAAATGAAGTTAAACTATGAAGTGTAGTAATTCCAATCACATTCTTGCTTATCAATTCAGTATGCTAATGCTATGTTTCATGCCTGGTGTAGTCCTCCTTAAGTAAGTACTCTTTTAGTGAAGTCTGTGGACTTACACGAGGATCAGTTTGAGCTGGTGCCTCTCAAAAAAGTCAAACCAAATATAATTAGTGTTGTTGATGATGATGAAGAATATTCCCACACCACCACTTTGAGAAGGATTACCTGTTGTGCTGCTTTACTGAAAGCTGTACTCAGTAGGAGGTGAACTTGCTGAAACGGAGTTCACAAGGGATTGAAGGCTTTGCCTCGCAAGTGGGGGTGGCTGTGCCGATCCCCCCTCCGCCCCTCCAGCTGTGCTTGCTGTGGGAAGTTCCACGGCAGGGATGGCTCCACTGCTCTGAGGCAGCTGCTGGGTTTTGCCAGTTCTGTTGCGACTATTGTGAGTACGTAAAGGTGAATCGATGGCACTGCAATGTGCACAACCACAGCCTGTGGCAGTTCAGTGTCAGGCACAGGAGCCTCCAGGGTGGACAGCCCACCCCAGGAGCGGGTGCTGTCCCTGCGAGGGGGGTGAGCAGTCCCTCTGCGTGAGGCGGCTGCGATTCAGAGCCACCTCAGCCACCCAGCTCTAAAGTCGGCAGTCTGTAGTTCTTGGCCGTGTGACTGGATGGTACCTCTTCGTTTCCTGGTAGCTTTCCTGTTTCATCACTTCTTGGGAAACAGCATCGCTATTTCCTGTAGGGGTGAAAAGTTGCTAAACCTCTCCCACTAAGAATTCTTTTTTTTTTTTCTTTTTTTAATTGGCGCCCAATATTGAGAAAAAGCACCACGAGTCCAAGTCATAGGTGAAAAAAATGACCCCTGTTCTTGATAGTTGTTGTAAAGTGTTTTGTTTTATGTATGTTTTTAACAGAAGTCAATTGCTCAGGTTCTTGCTCTGCACTCGGCAACACTTTTTAAACCGTTGTATTATAATAAAAGGGAAAGACCACCCACAGCTTTTTTTGGCTATTATATATGAAAAAATGGTGTGCCAGAAGCCCTCTTGCCCTTAGTCCACTGCCTCTCTGCCCTGTGCTCTTGCAGAGAAACAGCTCCTGCCTTTTCCTCCAGGACAAAGTAATCCTCACAACAGGGCAGAGCAGCTTTGGAGGTGTGGTTCCACCTCCGACCTGCTCAGTGATCACAGGGACAACTCAAAGCAGAAGATACTGCTGTGGATAACACATATTTAAAGCAACTCTCAAAAAAATTTATCTCCCACCTCCATTTTTTTGATTTCCTGGGACTTGCCTCATTTAAGAAACAGAAACTTACCATCACCTGGTTTTATTGTTCATTTTCTCAGAAGAAAAGTGCCGTGTGAGAAGGGAAGAGGCATTGACCCCGTGAGGAATCCCACCAGAAAGCGAAGTGCTTGCAGCGGTTCCGGGCCGATGTCCCCCTGCCCAGGCCTGGGTCCATGCCACGCATCGGCTTTGGGTGAGAGCACCCAGCTTTTGGGGGGTTCGGAAACGTTAAAGCTCATCTCTCTTCCCTGCCCTCGAGACCACCACCCTAAAACCATTACATGTGGGACCGGTTCCCGGTTTGAGCAGCCACCGTGACC